CATACTGCTTTCCACAATTGTTCAACGAATTTACATTCCCACCAACAGTGTAGGAGGGTTCCCCTTTCTCCACATCCTCGCCAACATTTGTGGTTGTTTGTCTTTTGGATGGTGGCCATCCTAACTTACTATGCAGTTCTTTACCAAAAAAAAAAAATGTACTGACCACTGCTCTAGAAGGATGGATGGGATTTTGTTGGGCAAAACAAGGCAGGGGTGGGCAAAAAGGAATAAACACTCCATTTGAGAAATGAAAGAGTAAAAACATGAAGGAAAACCCCAGAATACTGTAGGAATAGTGGGAAGAACAGTTTGGTTAAAGTAGAGTGTCCAAAACTGTAAACAGCTTGAACCATTGATTACTATGTGCTTTGCAATTGAGACATTTACACTGCGGTAGTAAGAGATAACAAGCATTCTCATACTGAGTCGGTGACATGGGTTCTACTATTATCTAATGGGGATAATAACTAAGGAACTAGTTAAGTGATTTGACAAGAAAAAGAAAAACCACTAAGACTTAGAGAAATTAAGTATCGGGGCCAAGATGTCAAGTCAGTCAGTTGAGCTATGTAGAAATCCAGACCCCTTTGCCCTATAAGCCCATGCTATTAACACCATATCAAACCCCCAGGCATACAATAAGAGGAAATACATCTGCAAAGACAAGTCAGGGTAAAACTGTCAATGTTTACAAATATAGGTATAAAATCTGTAACTATGATTATTTCTGTTTAAAAGTATAGGCGTTCCGTGAGCAGGTTCAAACCAAAATGTTCTACACTTACAATCAATTGTGACCTTTTCTTAAATTACAGGAGGAAAAAAAATTGTGAGCTTAATTTTCTCAATTTCAACTTTCCTCCAGAAATATCTGTTAAATCTTTGAAAAATGGCACATTATAAGAAATCAGTGAGTAAGTCACAGACTAAGTTTGGGATTAGCTGACTATGCTTAGCTCAAATTTTTAAATGGATTATGTGATCAACAGATGTCACTATTAAGTTCAAATGACTAACTGAATATATCAATTCAATAATAGTTAACTTAATTATCTGGGTTTTAAGATTAAGGTATTCTTCAAAAGAATAACAATGCTTCTATGAGACAATCTTGAGCACTAAAACAAAAGCAGATACATCTAAAGCCGCACTGTTCAACAGAAATATCAGGCAAGTCACACATGCAAGCCACATAGGTAATTTTAAATCTAGTAGCCATGTAAGTAGAAACAGGTGAAATTAATTATAATAAATTTTATTTAACCTGGTATATGCAACATATCACTTCAACATGTCATCAATATTTTAGAAATTGAAATATGCTGTATTTTTTTCCAAACTAAATCTCAAAATCTGGCGTGTGTTTCACACAGTAGCTACATATCGCTACTGACCACCATATTGGACAGCACAGATCTAAAGGACAGCGTTTGTAAGATCACAGCAGGTAAGGGGCTGTGGATTGCAACCAGTCAGACCATGGAAGTGAAGGTCATGGGTAAAGAAAGAGGGCATTTAGCTCCAACATTCTGGTGAAATAAATGAAAGTCCAACTAAGAAATGAAGAACACTAACAGACTTTTAGCATACAGTAACCTTTTAGCAATCTATGTTTGGGCTTTTGTGTACTGCACAGTATTGATTTCATAATTGTTGTTGCCACATTCTAACCGGTTGTGCTGTAATTGTGATTTGGGATTATCCATAACCATACTCCTCCCTCCCCATTTCCTCACCAACCAATTCTCAAAGCTATTTCAAAGTTATCCAAAAAAAACTGTCTTGCCCACAGGTTTCACACCTGAACAAGTTCGCTATGGATTCAGTGTGATCAAAGAAATGACGGTAGAACGTTCTTGTGGTGAAAGGGTTATATCCAACTTTGTTTCCACGGCGGCAGCTCAATCACTGGAATCCCATCCAGTCAGAACGAGTCTGCACGCAGCAAGCCAGTCTCTGCCTCTGGGCCTCTCTGCCCGTCTCAGTCTCTGTCTTTGCTCTCCTGCAGCCTTGTAGCCCTGACACCGTGTGGCCCAGAGCACTGGGCAGGGCTCTTTATATAGAATCAATAATGATGCATTGCCCACATGTGTGTAAGTGAGCTAGTCGTCCAGGACCAGGTGAGAATCCTGGCCACAGGAACCTTCACTTTATCCACAAGAACCTACTTCCAGGTGCTCTCCACAAACTAAAGAGATTTAAACTCTACACAGGGAAGCCACTAAAGGATTTTGGAAAGGGAATGCAAATAATGTGCCAGTACTAATAGTGAAGTATCACTGTCATAGGAGCAGCTGTGAAAAATAAACTGGAAAGGCACCAGTTCAGAATGTTCCACCCATGTCTTCAACAAGGATTATAATATTGAGAATAAAAAAAGGGCTGAGGCATTTGCAACAACATGGATGGATCTAGAGGCTTTTATGCTCAATGAAATAAACCAGGTGGAGAGAGACAAATACCATATGATTTCACTTATTTGTGGAATATAAAAACAAAGCAAAACAGTGAACAAAATAGCAGTAGACTCATAGACAGTAAGATATGACTAGTGGTTACCACAGGGGAGGAGTTAGGGTGGATGGGAGGATAGGGAGAGGGAGATAAAAGGGGTACAAAAATTCTCAAGCACAATACAAGTTGGCCACAGGGATAGCAGTACAGCATGGAAAATATAGCCAATGATTCTGTAACATCTTCCTATGTTGACTGATAGCAATCGCACTTTTGGGGGTGAGAATTTAATAATATGGGTAACTGTTGAACCATTGTGTTATGTATTTGAAACCAATATAAGATTGTGTATCGACAATACTTCAATTTAAAAAAAAGGGCAGAGGCCAGATACCCTTTAACAGTGATTCAACGAAATCACGTAAACAGTACAAAGCCAGAAGAGGAAGTAGGCTTCGACAGAGGCGGCCAAAATAATTAGGTGAGATGCTCCTGTCTCACCTTCCTGCCACTTCCCAATACCCAGGAGAATTCCAACAGGACCATTCGGCAAAGATTTGGTTTATATTTTTCCTGTTTCTTAACTCAGAGGCTCTTTCTAAACACCAGACCAAATTCTCATTTGCTGCTCTATGAAAAGTAACTATGATAAACTTAAACAGTAATGAAAATAAATTCTGTGAAAAAAACATATAAATTGCTGGGCAGGGTGTGTCTACACTTACAGGGACAGAAGAGGGCTGGGAAAAGACTGCATATTTCAGTGGTAACAGGTCAAAGTGCATCAGAATTTTAAAACAAACCCTGACTAAACAATTCAAACACTGCAATAACAGGATGTTGAATAGTTGATCATTTTTACCGAATGAAATTATGCAATTACCATGAGTCTACCAGTTCCTTACAATTATTAAGGAAAACAAAATTATAACTTAATATTTCTCAATTCTTTGATCATTTCTGCTTGTTACTCAGAAACCTATTCCACTGTTTAGGCTATCCTATTTAGGCTATCCTTTTAAAAAGTAAAATTATTTTAATTCTTTTGGTTCAGGGGAATTCATGATGCCCTCTTCAGGTAACGGGGTAAAGGGGCAAATCATCAGTGAAGTCATTAGGTACTGATCTACATTTTTAAAAAAACAACAAAAGAACTAGATACAAAAACCATATATCCTGATGCCAAGTTTATAAAAATGTTTTATATGCACACACAAAACAGATTTGAAGCACACCAAAATAATCAGCTGGGATTACCTCTGGTAACTGCACTTGAGGTAATTTTTACTTTTTATACTGTTTCTATATTTTCTGTCTCCTACAATAATCATGCATTATTGTTAAAACTAGAAGAAATAAATTTAGACAAGTGGAAATTGATGCAATGCCAGTTAATTTAGGATTATATTGGATAAATACACTATCTCTTATACCAACAATCTCTAAGTAAAACGCACTCAGGACCCTCGGTATGATCACGACTACATTCACACGGACAATACACCATACACACATTAATGTGGTGAAGCATGCTACATTAGAAAAATGAAAAATGGCTTATTTAGGAAAGAGTTTAGCACTTACAATAAGTAACTCAGCAGAGCCAAGACCAGGTGCTCAAGGAATTAATAAGAGGAGTCATAAGGTGGGGAAAATGTCTGGTTCAAATTTTTAAAAATGTAAACCTACAACTAAATTGTTTCCTTTAAAATGGCTTTCGTGTCAACTTCACTTTTCTCTAAAAAGTTAACCAACTTACTTTCTAAATATACCAGATTGAATCAACACTGCTTCAAACACGGCTTTGGCCCCAGCCAATCCTTTTTTCTTCCCTCCGCAACATTCTAGAGCAGTATCTAATCGTGGTTCATCAACGTAGAAGCCACTGCGGAGATGGGGGCAGAACAGATGCTAAGTACCAAACAGGCTACCTTCCTGCCTTCATGGCACTTAGAGCAAACGGTGGAGTGAGGACAAAGGAGCGGGTCAGGAAAGGAGGCCACAAAACTGTCACGACTGATTTTGTTGCTTTTAATAAAAGTACTGTTGAGTGTAAAGAACTTTCAGGGGGTGATGAGCCAGGCACGATACAACAGGCGAAGGCGCGGTTAGGTACAGGGCTGAGCAGGGTGGGACTCCTCGATGACAGCATCAAAGCCCGCCCTCCCAGTGCTTAAGGGTACACAAACATTTGACTGAGAATTGAACTCCAACAAATCCGGCAACAAGGTTAAACACGCACTCACACAATATTCAACAGCACTGCGTTCCTTTCACGTAGTGGAGTACCGAATACCTGGCAACCTACTTAAAAATGCTTCATGAAAGCTGCTGATCGCCTGGAAAGTATACACCATCCACGTGCTCCCAAAAGGCCTTCGGCTCAAGCCTTTGCAGTCAAAACCAAGCGCAGGCTGACCTCGGCCTCCGCCCTGTCCACCCCGGGACACTGTTTACCAGCACGGACCCAAACGAGCCAACCCCATGCCCCAGCAAGTGGCCTCCCCGGGTCCTGGCCACGCCAACTTGTAAATAAAGGTCGGGGAGGGCCAGCAGTCCATGGCAGGTGGGCGGCGCGGCCTCGCAAGACAAAGCAGGGAGCCCCATTCGAAGGAGCCTTCCCGACCGCGGGCTCGCTGCCCCGGCCCGAGGCCCGACCGCGCCAAACCCCAGGTGCCCGGCCGGCGGAGACAGCCCGCAGCACCCGGAGCGCCAGCCCAACCGCCGCCGCCGCAGGAGCGCGCTGGGCGCCCAGCTGCCGTCCCGGCCCAACCAACGCGGGCAGGGGAGGAGAGGTGCGCGCGGCCGACGGAGCGTGCGAGCAACTCGAGGGTCGCAGGGGGGAGGCTGCGCGCGGGGAAGGCAGGAGCGAAGAGACCCCGAGGCCATGGCTGGAGGCAGGGCCAGGAGGGGCTCCTTTAGGGGTTTTTGCCCCTTTCCCCTTAGAAGGTGCAGATGGTTCGACCCCCCACCCCGACTGAGGTGCCTTGTCCCAGCCCCGGCTGGACTGTACCATCGGGCGGTGCCGCCGGGATTTCTCCCCCCCACCACCACCATCAATTCTCCCCCCCCACCCGGGTCCGCGGTCGGTTGGCCCCGGCCGGGCTCTGAGACGCGGAAAGAGCTTGGCGCCATTTTGGGTGGGACTAAGGAAAGACGAAACACCCTCCCAGTCGATGGGGTACTCTGGACGCTGTCTTATCCAGTTCCCTTAATCCGTTAGGTACTTACACGACGTTGGGTGAGGGGAGCTGGAAGATCAGCGGGTCCCCGATCCTCTCTCCCTAGGGGTGATGGAAATCAACCCCCCCCGCCACCTCCAGGTGGTTCTTCCCGCCGCAGAGTGGGAGCAGCATAAAAGGCGGGGTCTCATTAGCATAACCTGCCTGGCAACCTGATCCCGGCGTTATATGATTGGTTGAACTCTGTAAACCCCTTCTCTTGTCTATAGACGAATAACGCTGGGGCGAACTGACAGGCCCAGATTTAAGACTCATGACGAAGATCCTGAGACGCTTATTCTGTCGGCAGAAAAGTCAAAAGGAGATTCACACAATGGCCCAATGACTGAAGGCCTCTTTATTTCGTACGCTGCTGTTCATTTAAAATCCAATCAAAGAGCGAGTCTCGGGCCGCGCTCGCATACGTTTGTATTCTAGCCAATCAGAAAAGCCGACTCTTCGGTTCAGGATCAACCGGCTCAGAGGGACCCGCGGCCAAGGCAGGAACAGTTTGGCCTCCGTGCGATAAGCGGACGGGATGGACTGCGTCGGAGATCCTGGCCGGCACCCCCGCACACCCAAGAGTCCCTGTGTGCTGAGAAGCTGCGCCCAGGGGTGTGGCAGGACGAGGGCCGCAGGCGCAGAGGCGTGCCGGGGCTTTGCCCCGGCTCACAGCGTTGCACCTGAAGCGGGCCTCCCTGGCGGCGCTCAGCCAAAACCGCCACACGCGGCGACCCCGGAGAGTCTGCGCCGCCTGGGCCTCAAGCTCGAGTCTCGCCGAAGTGTGCACCCTAGGTCAAGCGATCCTGCGGGAGCTGGCGGCGCCCCTTTCACCTCTGACCCAGTGGATTGTGCGTGTGCTCAGCCCCTGCCAAACCCCGGGGCGCCTCACTGCGTCTCACCTTTCCCGTTTACCATTCTGGAATAGGAAGTGATTTCCAGAAACATGAAGCATTAGTCAACACTGGTTTACCAAGGACTTGACTTACTCATTTCTTAACCTCAACCTTCCCCAGCCTACCATCCCATGAAATTACCTTCTCCAGGGGCCATCAAGTGCATAGAAATGAGCTCAAGCTTTGGAGCAGACACCAGCTTCTAGTTACCCAATACGAATGGCAACTAGATCCCAGGGGATCTTGAACCTTTGGACCTTCAGGGAGCAGTTTCCCCTTCCATGACATCTATCTTGCAATGTTGTTTTGAAGATTAAATGAGAATTACGTATAAAATACTTAGCACGCTAGAGCTTAAACAAATAGAAATATTAATGGTGATAAAACATACAAAGTTGCCAAACTTGGCTAACCAAGAAAAGAATGTACAGCTAAGCAAAAGACTTGAGAGGAAAAAACACCCATGGGGGGAAAGCTAAAGTTCAGTTAACAATATTCTCTACTGTTTTGTTAATTTTAAAAAACTGGAAACAACTTGAAAAGAATAGTAGAACGCTACATTTTTAAAACTTCAAGACAGTTAACGGCCTTGTAAAAAACAACTTGATGACTAGAGCTTGTCTTTTTTCTCCATAGGCTCCTCTGCAGGCAGCACTGGACTTAAAGGTTATCAGTAAACACTTGTTGAATTTAATTGAAAAGAAAGTGTAAATTGGAGCCTGATCTAAACTGGGGTCTCAATAGTGAGAGACGCTACTAATTCTTCACCATATATGTAGCACATGGAAGTCAGTGTCTTCAGAAAGAGCCACTCAAATGTTCCCATTTAGCATTGTGAGTACACAGACAATGCCAGAAGTTGAACAGGTCCATTCCTATATCCCTTGGCATCTAAAGAAAATACCCCATTCTGAGATTTAACAGTATATCCTCTCTGATGGATTGGGAGGTCCCAACTGAAGTCTGCTGACCAGAAATGACACCAGGGAGCTTGCCATGAGGATTGGAGCTATCTGGACTGCAGAGCTCAAGTTACCCTAATGGACTTGGAGAAATGGTCTAAAACTTTAGAGTGCACAAATATTACAGGAAGACACCACCCCAGGGATTTTTTATTCTAAAGGTCTGGAGTGAACCTCAGGAACCTGCATTTTATGTACATTGTAAAACTAATTTTTAAATGTATATATAGTAAAATTCCCTCCTTTTGGTGTACATTTATTGATGATGTAATGGGTACCAGTCACTGTCCTAACAATGAGGATAAAATGGGGAACCAAAAAAAAAAATGCTCCTTTTCTCATGGAGCTTATATTCTAGTGGAGGAAACAGAAGAAAATTAATAAATAAGATAATTCCAGGCGATCATAAGTGCTATGTAGAAAATAAAACTGGAAAATCCAAAAAGAAGGAGGATGCAGACAATTTAAATAAGGTATCAAAGAAGTCCTTTCTAAGATGCTAACATTTGTGTGATGAGATAAAAGCCAGCCATGCTGAGATCTTGGAGAACATTTCAGTCTGAGAGAATGGCAAATGTAAAGGTGTGAGAGGAAAATAAAACATGGTATGCATGTATTCAGTCATTCTTCCATTGAATAAGTATTCACTGAATACTTATGATATGCTGTTCTAAGTGCTTTGAGACTTGCCATTTAACAATATAGATGAAAGGAAAAACACCACACACAAAAATCCCTGCCTTTAATGGTGCTTTCACTCTAACACACTGAATAACCGTAAGCATTGCTGGAAAATATGGCCAGGATTATAGCAATGCAAGACGACTTGAAGAAATAGGCAAGGGCCAGATCAGACACAGTTTTAAAGGCTATGGTACTGGTGTTGTTACTGTATTTTAAGTGCAATTTAAAATAGTTGGAGGTAAAAAGCAGGGGTACTGCAACTTCTTTAAAAAAAGATAACTCTAGCTACTTGGGGGAGTTTATCTTGTGGGAGGGGGTGCGAAATAAGAGATAAGGAGGATAGGGGTCTGCAGCAATATGCTCTAAGCAAGGAATGACAGTGATCTTGACTGAAGTAAGAGTAGTATAAATAGGGAGAAATGTATAGACATCAGATCTACTTTGGAAGTAAAGTCACAGAACTTAACGGATAAGATAACGGGATGGGGTGGGGGTTTCTAGTGGTGACAAAAGAGTGATCAAGTATTATTTACAAAGCTGAGGCTTGAGGGACCAAGTAAGGGTTGATGCTTTAACCAGGATTGGTAAGACAGGAAGAGAAATTAGACAATTAAGAGTTGAGAGTCTCACTGAAGTCGTGTTAAATTTGAAATGCCTTGTAGAAATCCAGTGGGACATACTGTATAATCAGTTGGAAATCAAGGAGAGATCAGGGCTACAATATAATCTTAGGATTCATCAAACTATAAATTGTATTTAAATACGTGGCATGAATTCTAATTAGATAGGTCAGCTAATGAGGATTAGATGAGGAAAAGAGTATAGAGAGAGAAGGTAAGAGGAGCTGCTGGGGAGTTGCCGATTTTAGAGGTGAGAGACAAGGGGAGCCAACAAAAGAGACTGGGAAGGCTAGAAAACAGGAGAACAGAAGAGTAGGGTGCCTGAGAAGCCACGGGAAGAAAGTGTTTCAAGTAGGTAGTAGTCAGCTGCAGCTAATGTTGCTGAGAGGTAAAGACAGATAACCTGTGGGTCTGGAGAGATGGAGGTGGAACTAGCTGGTAACTTGTCAATAGCAGCTTCAGGGAGGGTTAGGGAACTCAGTAGGAGTTGCCTGAAGAAAGAATGGGAGGTGAAGAGTGACATCTGTTGCCACAAGAGTAGTGGATAAGATGGGCCAATAAAAACCACTAAAATGCTGTACATGCTATTTTTGTGAGTTTTAAAAAATGCATCACAGAGCTGGTAACAGTGAGGAATCTATCCACAAAGGTTAAAAACAAACGTCTGTGAGTAAATAGACCAAAGAATCTACAAAGAGTCAATGCGTAAAAAAGGGAAAGCTCATTATTACAAAGGAATGCTGGGAAAAGAAAAAATATCACTTGGCAGCAACCATAACAATTATTACATTTTGTCAAGCAACAATCATCAATGTGTGCTAGAGCTAATGAATGAAATTTTGATGGTTTGATATCAGTGTGGTCTCAAAATACCTCCCCAAAACATACTTATTAATTACAAAGAAAAAAATAATAATTTTACAGTGGAGAAATTTGGCAGATGCCATCACAGTGATCGAAGGCGCCATGCTCAAGTATAGGTCAGTAGGTCCCATGTGTGTCTGTATATGATGCACTGAGGACACCACAGTTCACTTCTGCAATATGGCTGCCAGAAATTAATAACCTGACTCTAATGATAAGGAAACAATAGGCAAACCCAGACTGATGGGCATTCTACAAAATAACTGTCCTTTACTTGACTTAAAAAAATTATTGTCATAAAAGACAAATCCTCCAGTCTAAAAATGTCTAAAAAGACATGACAATGAAGTACAGTATGTGCCCCAGATTGGATCCTGAATCAGGAAAAAACAATTTTTTATGCATATCAAAGACATTAGTGGAACAATTGGTCACAGTGGAGTCAAATCTGTAGATTAGATAACAATATTATATAAATGTTAATTTCCTCATTTTCACCTTTGTATTATGGATATAAAAGTAGATCCTTGCTGTTAGGCAATATATACTGAGTGAAGGAGAAATGTATTTGCAAATTATTCTCAAACTGTTAAGAAAAAGAAAAATAATACACGTTAACAGATAGGGAACCTGATGATAGTTGTATGGGAATTCTTGCACTATATTTGCAACTTTTCCTTGAGTTCAAAATAAGAAAACAGAAAATAGTCGTCATCGTCCCCCTCCCCAGAAAAAGGCCAGTTGTTTGGCTTCATATCTGCACTATAAGGAAGGGGAATGTCTGATTTTGGAACTGGGTGAACTGCAGAGAAAGAGTCAAAGAGTCTGTGACTAGGTCAGAGTTGTTTAGAGACTCACACATAAGTGGGATGATTCAGGAAGAAGCCTAAGAGGGTCCAGGAGTGGAAGACTATGAGTATAACTGGGTGTTTGGCATTTGCACTGGGTTAAATAGTGCCATCCAAAGTTCATATCTGGAACCTATGACATTATTTGGAAATAGGGTCTTTGCAGCTATAGTTAGTTAAGATGAGGTCATAGTGCATAAGTTGGACCCTAATTCAATGACTGGTCTTCTTATAAGAGAAAAACAGACATAGACACACAGGGAAAGATACATGAAGACAGAGGCAGAGATGGAATATGGTGCATCTACAAGCCAAAGAAAACCAAAGATAGCCAGCAACCACCAGAAGAGGGAAAAGATCTTCCCTAGAGCCGTCAGAGGGAGCATTGCCCTTCCAACACTTTCATTTTAGACATCTAGCCTCCAGAACTGCGAGAGAATAAGTTTCTATTGTTTGAAGCCCCCTAGTTTGTGGTACTTAGTTATGACAGCCATAGGGAATTTAAGACAACTTTACAAAACAAGTAATAAACTGTGGGTGCAAGATCGTGAGCTTATGTTGATGGGGGGAGGGTGTATTGAAATGTGAGTGGATGGGATTGTGAGCATTTATGAGAAGAGCAGTTTTGTATTTATTTTAAGAAAGGAAAAGGGTAAGAAATTGAACAGATAAATATTTTAAAATGTAATTTTTATATAAAATATGACACACTATGGGGGGAATAAAATCAGCTTTTCACGTTTTTTCTTTTAAGAGATTAAATGACTGCAAAAGAACCTGCTGCTATTGGGTATCTGCTTTTGTTTGTCACCGAGGCTCCCAGAGATCTTAAGTCATGAAACTGGATATTATCTTCAGTTCAAATGGCTAATTGTGGATGTTGGAGAAGGAATTGTAAAAGAGGTGATGTCCAGAAGAAGATTTCAAAGTTAATATGCAGAAAGAGAAGCAGCATGAAGAGTTTGAGTCAAATTGCATCTTTCTCCAAGAAATACAGGCAGGGAAAAAGACAGAAAATGTATAAAATGGAAAAGTACTTTCCATCAAATGTTGCTACTTCAAGAATGGAGTATGGATATGACTCAGTTAAAAATTTTGGAGTATAAGTTAGATTTCAATGTGAGGGAAGCTGTGTAAGCAAGAATTATTATGACTATGATGAGTATGCAATGATTCATCCTATTTGTAGTAATCTCAAGTAAGGGTAATCTTTGTAAGAAAAGTCCTCTTTCAAAAATATAATGTTAACAGATACATGAAAATTAACACAAAAGAGAAACCATAGTATGTAAGGACTGTTGGAAAGCCTCCAATCAAACTAAGTCTCCTTGAGAAAAATTAAAAATCCTGGAGAAAAACTAATGAATGAACATGCAAAAACCTTTAGCCTGAAGCATTACCCCAGATAGCATAGGAATGATGTAGAGAGGGCATTCATGCATGTGCCAAATGTGGTCAGGTGTTCTCTTTCCTTTTTTTCCCAGTCTTTTCTTGACTCTCATTCCTCATTCTACATTTAAGAGCCCATTTGAGAGGAAATCATATAAAAGTGATAAATGTGGAAATTCCTTCAACTGTAAGAGAAAAATTTGATACTCAGCATTCTAAGGAGAAACCTTGTTAATATAGGAAAGCTTCGATTCAAATGCCAAGATTTATTAGATGCAAAAGAAGACACACTGGAGAGAAACCCTACGTGTACAAAGAAAGTGGGAGAGCCTTCAGTAGTGAGTCAAATCTCACAAAGCATGAGAAAATTCATACCAGAAAGAAAGCCCTGAATATAATCAACATGGAAAAGTCTTTAGCTAGAAGCAATACCTCACCAAAGATCAAAACATTTGTACTGGAAACTCTGAATGTAATGAACGTGGAAAATTTTCAGCCAAAAAACCTCAGTATTCAACAAATGATCCATAAAAGAGAGAAATCTTATGAATGTACTAGGTATGACAAAGCTTTTATTCAGAAATCAAGCCTCCTTAGACACTAGATAAGTCCTACTGGGGATAAATCTTATGCATGCAATGAAAGTGAGAAAACATTCAATGGCAAATAAAAATTCATATTTGAGATATGCCTTATAAATACAGTGAGTGTGAAAAACTTTTCAGGAAGAAACTATACCTCATTAAATATTACAACATTTATATAGGAAAGATACCAATGATCATACTCAGGACAGAAAAGCCTTCTCTCAAATCACACTGCTTGTTGTATAGGCAAGTACCCATACA